AAGATATGTCAAAGAAATAATCAATCCTCCCATGTTTTCTTCCATATGCTACCTCTATAGCTTTTCTTCTTCCTTCCTAATTACAACCCTTAAATAGAATTCGTGCCTCATATCGAATTTACCGAGTATCATAATTCCTCCAGGTGGTAAAGATACCTCGAGACAAGTGCTGGGCATAGAAGCCACAGGGCATAAATCTGCAAAGAAGTAAAAAGCTAACCTTTTCAAACAATATGGCTTCTCTCTCACTTACCAACTTTACATTTCCCTGTATGGCCCCGGAAGATGACTGGTTAGCCAGAGACGGGTAAGATTCCTCAAGGGAGGAACAACCTAAGACAGGCACAGTCGCAGGGGGGCCATCAGGTGAGAAATTGGGGATCAACAGAGGTGAGGCTCAGAACCTCACCCCCCCTGCTTTGAGAGAAATCTTCTGCATCCGTGGATGTCTTGCTGCCCTTGTCTAGCCTGGATTAATACTTAGTCCATAGGCACACACCTGATCATCTGATCATCTACATTTGCCCTCTTATAGCACTAAACTATGTTTTCTACCTTTATCTTGCATCTACCTACCACTTCAGCATTTTATTAAAAATAAAAATTAAAAAAAATAATAATAAGGGAGAAATGTGGGGTTCACATATAAATCAAGTATAAAAATCAAACAAATACTCATATTTGACCTGATTGTTTATAGTTCATAATGCGGGATCAAAACCAAAAGTTTCTGTGATGACTGCCCTTGCACTGTTCACCATGTAAGAACTTATTCACTATATAAGAATTTATTCACTATGTAAGAACTTGTTTGTTATGCTTCAGAAGATTGGAGACTGTTGAGAATTAGGCTTGGGGTTGATTAATGATTGTGCATTGAGTCCCCTAAAAAAAAAAAGTACAAACTTCCTGTTACAAAATAAATAAGTAAAAGGGATGTAACGTACTTCTTGGAGTATAGAGCCAATAATATTGTATTAACTTTGTATAATGATAGATGGTAACTAATCATTTTACGGTGATCATTTTGCAATGTACATTAATGTTGAATCATTATATTGTACACTTGAAACTAATGTAATGTTGTATGTCAGTTATACTTCAATAAAAATGCTTTTTAATTTAAAAATAAAATAAAATAAAATACACATGGAACACCTTAAAAAATAAATAAATAAAATTACTTAAAATAAAAAGGTAAAAATGTCAAGTGTTCTTTAGGTGCTTTCATGGTTTTATTTTTTTACACTGTAGTCTTTGTGATCTACCAGAAATATTACTGTCAGGTACTGATCCATATTTTTCTCCAGATGTCTACTCAATTGTTCTACAACCTTTATTGACTAATAATCTCTTTTCTCCACTGATTTAGTTTTTATTTTAAAATCATCTATTTTTAAGTTGTAAAAAATACATAAAATTTACCATCTTAGTCATTATTAAGTGTACAGTCCGGTGGTGACAAGCACATTCACATTGCTGTGCGACCTGTCTCCAGAACTCATTTCATCCTGCAGCGGAAACTCTCCACCCACTGAACACTGACTCCCCACTGCCTCCTCCCCTCAGCCTCTGGTAACCACCATTCTACTTTCTGTCTTTATTAATTTGACTACTTGTGGTAGTTCATATAAGAAAAATTAAGCAATATCTGTCTTTTCATGACTGGCTTATGCTGATTAACAAGCTACTAATTTCACTGTAAAATAGAAACCTATTTGGCGAAGATGCTAATTGGCGAAGCTTTTGGTGTTGACTAAGAGCCAGATAGTTGAAGTGCTTGTATTAGCTACTTCTGAAGTGTGGATGAAGGAACTGTGGTACAGAGAGATTAAATGACCTGTTGCTGATCACACAGCCAGGAAGGGTACCTGGTGCACTTGGAACCCAGGGTTGCCTCCCCAGCTTGCTCCAGTAGTCTTTGCCCAAGACTAGGGCTCACATGAGAGCCAAGACTTACAAGCGGCATCTAGGTGGTTGAGACAAGAGGTGGATGAAGTCACCCAAGGAGTAGTGATCACGAAGGTTTAAGGAGCAAGTGGAGGAATATATCTCAGGTAGTATGTTCCCAGTGATTGACCTGCTGTAGATAATCAATATTTTTAGATAAATCCAAGATTGGCATCCAGAATGATGGGAAATCAACCAGGAGAACTATTTTTCAGAAGCCAAGGGAGAAAAAATTTCAAATGGTGAGTGGTCAACATATGCTGAAAAGAGATCAAGCTAAAGTGTGAAGAGTAAACTTCTTTTAGGCACAAGTCAATGGTGAGGAGCGGTTTCTTGGGATAGTAGAGGCAGGAATGTGCTGGTAAATGTTTAACAACCAATTCTCCAAAAATAGTATGCATTTATGTACATATTTAACTTTACTTTGAATTTTACTGATATAAAGGATGTGTAACAGAATTTACAAATAATATATACAATATTCTTTAATGTAAATTCCACTCTTGTACCCATGATTCCATAAATGGAGTTGTATCCTAACTACAAATCTAGTTCCAACATGAAAGTCGGTCGATATTTTTATTTACATTTTTGAATAACACAAAAATGAAACAATGAAGATATGTTGAAACTTCCTCAATGACTTGAGTGATTTTTTGCTGAATCTGGTAAGTTTTTTCAAATCCTGGGAGAATATTTCCCTGATTTTTTTCGTGCTATTCACAATGTAACAATTACAGATAGGACACTTTTAAATTTAATCTGCATTATTAACATTTTCTTCACCACTATCTTTGATCTAGACAATTGACAAAGCCTGATATTTAGTGCTTGTCAATTTCTGCGGTGTAAACCAAGACCAATTTCAAACTAGCAACTTGTTACCTCTGAGTTGGGAAGAGATACACAGTAGTACATCTTTTTGTAGTATTTCCACCATACAGATAAAAATAAATATAAATAACCTCAAGAGCATATAATAGTAATGTGTAGAAAATAATCAGGAAGGAAGGAATTTTGAGTATTTATTGCTGTTTTAAAATATTATGTTTAACTGTAAGTTTACATTATTTAATTTCTGATAATAGGTGTGTTTAACAACTGGTCTACAACGTCTCTGAAAAACAAAGTCAGCTTTCACAAATGCGTGGAGCAAACCACTGGGTGGGGATGAAAGTCACACTGCAGTGGGATGTAACTTTCCTAATCAAAGCTGTAACCATGGTCAGTAATGTCCATCTGCCTTGACTCCTGTAAAACCTGCTCCCCTACTTCTCTGCTCCAGCCACATTCCAGGATCTCACTCAGACTGCTTCTGTAGGAACAATCCCTACTCCATAGCATCTGTAAGTCTCCTTTGCAGCATTTACGACAATTTGATATTACATTACTCTGGGAGTACTGGAATTGTTTCTTGTCCGTCTGCGTGATCATAACTGCAATGGTCATATTCATATATTCTCTCAGTACTCATTGCAGTGCTTTGCCTAGTGTTCAGTAAGTGTTCATTGAGTGAACGCTCAGGATGAAGGGCTGTCAGAAGGGATAAGACAGCTAGAAAATGGTTATGGGTGTGTGAGGCACACCTGAGAGGCACTATCAGAAAGCATCTTATCTCCTTGGATGCCTTTATGCTTATTTGGAATGGCCTGGGCCCCGTGATTGAAGACTCAAAGTATACAGGGAACCTTCCCTAGGAAACATAACTGAGGACATTCATCCTGTGTTAACGTAGAACAGAACTTTGGAGCCTTACCATTTGTTTCATAACCACTAATTGAATGTTTCAGTAATTTTCTTTTTAGTATGTTCTTGGCATGTGCTAGCACGTAGAAACCGGGTGGTGTTCTTAAACCACTGAACAAGAAACCAATTTTTCTAACGCTAGACGTTCTTCAGAAATGAGCCCCAAACAACGTTCTTATACAAAATAAAACGTCTTAATTTACACACTCTACACAAACAAAACTACAAGCCAGATCGTCAGAAAGAATCAGACAGGAGCAATCAGGGTGTTGCAAATCCTGATTACGCAGAGACGCTAATCACGCATCATGCGAACTCCAATCATCATGTTCCACTCTGTCCTCCCAGAGGAGAAACAGGTAAGGATTATCCTACCTGACGATAAATCTAATGTGCAGGGTATTCAGTACTCAGAAAGAAAGCTTCCGCTAAGAGCTAGGGTGAATATGTAACGTGTTTCCCCGAGCAAACTAAATTATTTAGGTTCTTCCATTTCTGTTGTTACATTTATTTGTAGGTCTTTTAAAAGTTTCTTTTTTTCATTTGGCTGACAAAAACGGATAAGCCATTTCCTCCCAGAATGCTCCACTCATCCACAAGGAGGGAGTCGTAACCATTCACCCAACTTTATTTGCATACGTCCGCCCACTCCCTTCCGCCAGACGTCTACCGTAATAACCAAAATAAAAGCGGTATGTATTATCTTAGTCTGCAAGGCTGCAAAACAGCCTTGCGTTTCTCTAGTAGTTTGGCCACCCTAATTCTCCCCTCAAATTTTATAAGTCTTGATCTTACTCTAAAATATATTGTATTACAAAAGACTAAATAAAACACTGATAATCCCAGACTCGAGAGATAATTACCCTGACACTAACACTGCCATCCTCCACCAAATGTAGTTTTAAGAGGAAGGCTGAAGCCTATGCCTTCCTTCTTCCAGGAACGGTTAGTCAGTCCCTCGTTCTTCCAGCCTTCACCGTTACGTGTCAGTCATGAAGGTATCAGAAAGGTTTCTTTTTCAGCCCAAACACGCTGACGAATAATGCTGTTTCAGTGATAGCTGGGAGGGCGCTGCGGAAGGTAGGTGATGGGTTCAGGGCCCCTCCCAATAAAAATCCCCAAATCCCCAAACCAGAGACTCCACTTTAAAGTGTAGAGGGGTGTTTCGGGGGGGGGGCACTTCAAGGCTGTAGGCTTGAGTGGACTGGGTATCTCATATGTGTGGTAAAATACTGGGTGGGGGAAACCTGATTTAAAACAAACCTCCTTCCCCATCCCCAAGCACTGGGTGCTACCTACCGTACCTGCAGAAGACAAAAATGTACCAGTATGAGGTGCATTCCCAACGATCGAATATAAAAAACGATAGGGCCACAGATGCACTACAATGAGCCCCGATAGCTTGGGGACACACCAGGGTCAAGGAAAACCTTTGTATCAATAGGTGGTGATGGGCCAGAAAAGGCTGGTGATGTGGGTGGTATCTGCACTTGGGTTCACCTCTTGCTCCCTCACCACACTGCAAAGGCCAGAGCTGGCAGCCCTGACTTCTGAGATTTAGGACAGCCACGTGAGTAGCGGCTTAAGTTGAACCTGCACAGCTGGGACCCCAGGCTACCCACTCTACATCTAGGGGCCAGCCTGGACCCTTCAGGGGAGGTAGGAGTAGGATCCCCATCTACCCCAGGCACACATGAATGCTCACAGTGGCTTCATACACTCTACTGGACTCTCCAGTGCCCTGGTGTTCCCCATCCAGAGCCTTCCCTGATCCCCCTTTCTCATTCCTCTATCTGAGTTTCCATCGTGTTGCACATCTTTGCACACTCCTATCACACAGGGCTTATCACAGAGAATTACAGATTTCTCTGTGTGTCTGTGTCTTTTGGGATATTCAGTGCCTGGTGCAATAGCAGGAGCTTAACAAATGATCGGAGATTGTATTAAATCGTTCACATTGCCCAAAAAGATCTCTCAACTGGAGAGATTCTGTTTGCCAGCTAGGACAGATGCTACTGTGCCAGAAAGGCCTAGTTAGATGGCTGGAGGGAGTCGTGATGGAAACGGGCGCTGTGGAAAAGGTGCACAGACAGAAAGGATACAGATGAGGCTCTGGGTGCTGTTGAACATGGAAACTCCTGAGAAGAAACCGGCCAGCTCCACGGCAAAGAGGCCTAGAGTGACAGAGAGCGCTGCCACCAGCCTGCAGAGAGGAAGGGAGGTTGGCTCAGACCTGGATTTCTAAGATCCCTCCACTCCCACTACTGTTTAACTGTGACCACCATGTCCCGAGTGCTCACTGAATGTCCTGCTTCTCGTACTCCTCGGGGGTGAACGTGAGGGGCAGGCAGGCCTGGATGTTGCTGTCCTGGGAAGCAAGGCAGAGAGGAAGAGAAGTGAAAGAGGGGCGGGGCGCAAGGCAGGCCTAGAGTCAGAGGGGTATGGGATGATCCCACCGGGAAGGCCTGGGGAAGGGGAAAGGTAGGGCAGGCTGGGGCTGGAACCACCCAACGTGGGAATGGGAGCGGGAGGAGAGTGGCCAGGAGTCTTACCCGGGACCAGAATAAGGTGATGACGACCACCAGATGCGCCAGGAGCGTCAGGAAGCGAGAGGGTACGAGCCCTGAGATACGGCCCATGGCCGCCAGGTACAGGATTACCACCTGCAGCAGAGGCCGTGGTCTCCGTGGCTGGCAGATCAGGGATGGCCACCCCTCAAGTCTCCCAGGCTAGCAGGCAAAAATTCGACAGACCCTTCCTTCCCGCTCGCGCAGGCACCGCCCAGTTGCCTTGGCAACCGCGTGAGCGAGAGCGCTGACCGGATCTCTGATATTCTCGCGAGAGAAGTAAATTCTCGAGCCGCAGTGGTCCTTCTGAGGATCGCCGGTCTAGAGGCCGCTGCCGAGTGGTTTCTCGCTGCGGAGCTGTCTGTGCGGTTGTGGCGCGGCCCAGCACCGCGGAATCTGCCCATGCTGGGCCGCCGTACAGGAACCTCCCTGCCCTAGCCCGGGGCTGTCCACTTCCTGCAGGTCCCTGCTACGTTGCCCAAGAGACCCTCCTAGTAAGAGTTGCTCCCCAGAAATCGCTGTCACCGCTACGCCAGTCTTGGGCATCTCTATGGCCAAGGCGTGGACGCACTCTTTTTCCCTCCTCCGCATCCCTGTAGCTTCCCACTGCCCTCAGCCGGAAGAGGCGAAAGGAACCGAACGAGGAGAGGTGAATGTCCTTAGATTGTTCGGCTCTCATTGTCACGAGTCCCTGGTTGTCCGAGGACCCCAGACTGGAACCTTCCTTGATTGATTCCCGCCGACCCGACTCCCCAACTTTGCTCAGTTTGGTGAGGGATTTGCAGAATGCAGAAAACGGACGGCTTTCTTGAACTGAGATGTGTTTGAGACGCGTGTTTTGGGAAGGGAGTGGACGACGGGGGTGGAAATCGGTGGGGAGGAGAATGAAGGAAGGGAATGGAACCCTGTGTCCCTGAGAGGCAAGGAGCGGTTGGCGACGCAGACTATGCTCGGATTTCCTTATCTCTTTGAGGTGTGGGCAACCGACTTTGCCCAGCTATAGTCCAAGGACCTCTTAGTATCAGCGACTTCACTGACCTTTGGGTCTCATCGGAATCCCTGCAGAACGGAATGTTTTCGCCTGAGCTCATTGCTCACAGCACCTGCCCGCTTACCAGATTGTCTCTCTCCGTATTCACCATCTCAGTTCTTTTAAGCCGGTGTAGAGTACAAGCCCAAAGGACAATTCGGATTTTTTCATTCATTCATTCATTCAACAAATAACCATTGATCAGTTAGTATAGTGGGCTGGGCTCTTGTTCTTGCCCAAAAGACAGAAGTCTCTATCCTTGGACTTTATGTTCTAGTCAGAGAGATGACAACAGATTGCAAACAAATGACAAATTCGCATTGTAATAGGTGCTATAAATAAAAAATGTAAAGGAAAACAACAGAATAACATGGTCGAGGATAGGCTCTTTGAAAATGGCTCATCTGTTCTTAAACTTCGTTTCAGGAAACTTGGTCAAAATTGAGAGGAAACCCGTTTCTCTCTTCTAGGCCCCCAGTGTAATAAGTGGATTTACTTTTTCTAAATGGGAAAACATTCAGAACTCAAGACTATCAAGAGACAGTCAAAAGCTGGTTTTGTTTAAGTCATTAAAGACAAAGAGTGAACTCTTCCAGATGAAGAGAGACTAAAGAGATGTGACAAGTTTGACATGAGAAATTTACTGTGTAATCCTAATGGATTTTGAGGGAGAAAAATAAACTTTCTTTTATCTTAAAGGACATTTGTAGAACAACTGGCATCTAAGCTAAGGTCTCTAGCTTAGATAATAGTGTTGTATCAGTGTTAATTTCCTGATTTTTTATGATTCTGCTACCTTTATGGAAGGGAATGCCCTTGTTAGAAAATACATACTCAAGTGTTTATAGGTAAAGGGACATTATGTGTGCAATTTACTCTCAAATGATTTGGAAAAAAATGTATGTGTGTCTGCAGAAGTAGATAGACAATGATAAGCAAATGTCTCAGTGAAGGCACATGGGAATTCTTTGTATTATTTTTGCAACTTTTCTGAAATTAAAAAATAATTTAAAAGTTTTTAAAAGTTTTAAATGGTAAGCTTTTAAAAGGTTCCCTCAGATTTTATATATTATCATTGAAATATTAAATTTCTTTATAAAAATAAGGAGTGATTAGGACTGATGGTCCCTAAATGTTGAACTCCTGTATATTGAAACTATATAATAACATTTTCATATAAAGCCCCTCCCCCTTTTTTTAACCACCTTTTTTGAGGACAGTACAGCCTTTCCTTATTTTGGAGACAATGGGATCACCAAAACTAATAAAATAAAAATTGGAATCATTAAGACTTTTCAGAGGAATTATTTTTATAAAGAGTGAGGTTTAGCAGTCTATTCTTTACTCGAAAGAATATTGGGCAAGAACTATTGCCCACACGGGTTTCTTAGCTCTCAGGTGTGTAAGGGTGAAATTGTTGAACAGCTTCAAAGTTCTGAAACTATTTTTAAACTTCCGTCTTCTGGGGAGGGACAGGCAAACCCATCAACTTCAGTGGACCCAACTACTCTCCCATGAGGTGACCCTCATCACTATTAGACCCTCAAAGTGAATGATAATGATGACACTTAAAGTACCACAAAAGGGAGCTTCCTGTACTCTCAAACACGGAAATTATAACATAGCAAGCATGGAAACATTAGCACACAGACAGGATGCAAGGATTGAAGGGCTCCTCATGCTTTTCTTCCCTCTGCCTGTAACTTACATGCTTTTTCCCTTGGGAATGAAAACCCATGCCTTCAGAGCCAAGCTCCCCCACTGACGATTTAAGTCTGGTTGTTCACAAATGAAGGAAGTACTGTAACAGAGTGAAACCGAGGAAAGCCCATGACTTCCTTTTGCAAGACTTGCCAAGGTTCCTGGAACACATAATGAGGAGGAGTGGACGGTGTAAAGATCTGGGGAAAGGGCATTACAGGCAGACACACAGCAAGTGCAAAGGTCCTTAGGTGGAAACAAGCCCAGTATGTTTGTTAAACAGAAAGGAAGCTAACTTGTCTGAAGCCTAGTAATGGAAGGGGAAGAAGAGGTCAGGTGTGAAGTGGCTTGGGTAGACAAGGGATATGGTCCTGCAGCCATGGGGAAGAACATGGTCAGATATGTATTTTAAATGATGACTTTGGTTGCAACATAGAGAATGGATTTTAAAATTTCAGGCAAGCATTTAGGAGAAGTGGCCTTGGAATGGGCAGTGGCTCCACCTAGGGATTCCTGGGGCTGTATTTGTGGAAAATGTAGATTCCTTCATGAAACAGCCTGGGAATGAGACTGCAGATACAGTACTCAAGAAGCTGGGTGAACAATACCAGAAGTGTAAGTTTATGGAACTTAACCTTACTCAAAAGAAAAGGAGGCTAAAAGGTCAGATTCCTGAAATTAAGCCATCTTTAGAGAAATTCTAAAATACATGCAGAAGAAAAAAAAAGTCCACTAATTCACTGGAGACCAGATTCTTCCTGGCAGATAACCTGTATTATAAAGTGTCAGTTCCTCCTACAGATAAAGTATGTCTACAGTTGGGGGCTAATGTAATGCTTGAATAGGGTATCGGTGAAGCTCAGGCATTGTTGGAAAAGAATTTATCGACTGCCACAAAGAATCAAGATTCTCTTAAGGAAGACCTTGACTTTCTTCGAGATAAATTTACTACAACAGAAGTCATTATGGCCAGGGATTATAATTGGGATGTAAAAAGAAGAAACAAAGATGATTCTACCAAGAAGAAGGCATAATGCTAGCAATTAAAAATGTGGTTCAGTTTTCCAAACATGTTATTTTAAATTCCCCATAGTTTATCCTTAAAGGTTGACATAATTTGAATGATTTTTTAAATAGCAAGAATGAACATTAAAACTTAAATAAGTAAATTTTAAGCAGAATGCTCTTAAGAAGCCATGGAGTTATCCAGGAAGGACAGGATGAGATTAGATCCCAGTGGAGTCAATAAGTGGAGCCAAGTGGATGGAATCAAGAGATAATTAGAGGATAAAATCTGAACATGGGGCTGTGGATGGGTGAGAAAAGGGAAGGAGTAAAAGGTGACTTAGATTTTAGGTTCCAGCAGCTGGAAGTTTGGGACATTCTACTTATAATAGGCTTCCTGCCTACAGGACCTACTAGATAGTAAGAAGTGGTTGGTCACATTTCACATTATGAATTAATAAACAGTAATCAGACATTTAGGTCTCTCCTGTCATTTTCCACGACCTTGGTTCACAGAAGCCTGCTCTGCAGAGGTCTCCCAAAAGTGAGTTTTGGAGCCATCCTGTGGCCGTAGGAGGTACTGCTGGTGACCAGGTGCCCTTCCCTTGAGGGGGTAGGGGTGCCGGGGGGAGGCACTCTTTCAGGGCTGGAACTCGTATGTCCTAACATTTGGACTGGTCATAAAGAACTTAGAAAAACAAATTTTATCATGGAAAAGTTCAAACATATGTAAAAATAAAGAAAAGTGTATAATGAATCCCTTTGAAGACCATTCTGCTTTGTTAACAACATGTGGCCAACCTTGTTTCGAATATACTGTCCCTCCCAGCCCCACTAAGTTATTTTCAAGCAAAACCTAGCCATCACCAAATTGTTCAAATTGCCCGATCTCTATAGTATAGATATAGATATAGATATAGATACAGATATAGATATAGATATAGATATAGATCTATAAAACTGTTTGAATCAGGATGCAAATAAATCACAGGATCCACACAGCATTGTACTTAGTTAACGTGTCTTTTAATCTTAAATTGTTCCTCCTCCCTCTCCCCTCCTCCTTGTTTAATTTTCTTGCAACGTATATTTTGAGGTCTCTGGGCCGTTTGTGGGCTGTATTTCTGGTTGTGTCGTTTAACACATTCCTCTGTGCCCTGTGTTCCCTATAAACTGGTTGTTAGATCTAGTGAATCAGTCTCACATTTAATTTTCTGGTAAAAATACATCATGGATGGTGGCTTGTACTTCTTACTCCATTCACACCAAGAGGCCCATAATGCCTGTTTGTCTCTTTTTTTCTGGTGTTAAAGCTGAGCTGTGGGCTCAGGTGTAGTCAGACTGAGGTAATCTATAAAGTGCCCCACCAGATGGTCATTTACGGTTTAAGTGATCATCACTGCCTAGCTCTATTGTTTCACGAGGGGTTGCAAAATGGGGATATCCTAATTCTATCAGTCTTTATGCATTTATCACCTGGGATTCTTGTACCCTCATCAACCAGTTGTTTACCATGAGCTATAGGTCATACAGGAAAGTCTGGATAATTGTGTGATTTTCTTCCCCATGATTTACCAGTTTTCTGAATAATGAGTTGGTTCCTAGCATCCTCCAAAAATGATTAATGAATTGTTCTTAGTATTGTGAACTTGTGAATTTTAACATCTTTTGTGCTTCTCCTACCATTGCAGTTGCTATTCCTTTTGATGCTCAAATTGTCTCAAGTTTAGGCCCCTGGGAGCCTCTTCAAATAGCCTCCTGAGTTGTTTCTTTTCTATGTGAAATTCACACAACATAAAATTGACCATTTCAAAGTACACAATTCAGTTCAGTGGTATGTAGACACATAAGGAAACTGAGGTACAGAGAAACATATTTACTGTCTGAGGGCACAGATCCTGTAGTTGATCAAACTAGGCTTTCAAACCCAGGTTGATTTGAGAATCTCAGCTCTTAATCACCATAGTCCCTTGCCTCTTACTAGTCCTCATTATGATCTGTAATCATTTGATTCGTTACTTTGTTCATTTACTATGTCTCTCCCACTAGAACACAGCAAATGAATGCAACAAATAAATTAAGTTCCTTGAGGACAGGGGAAAAATAAAAACAAAGCCCAGGAGAACCCAAGCCCATTCTAAAGTCTGTGTAGGAGTTAGGGGGATGTAGTGAGGAGACGTGCAACAACTACTCAGCTTCAGGTAATTGTCTTGAGGGAGTCAGGGTCCAGTGTTGCTAGATTCCTGGGTATATTTTTTATTTTTGTTTTAGTTATAAAAGAGGCCAGAAATCCAGATTCTTATTCCAATTATAAATGTTAGCATCCAACTTAAAAATGAGAAGGAAAAAAAACAACCCTGATGCCAACAGCACACAGGCCTCAGGCCACCAGCTTCCATCCTCTAGCTCAGAACCCCTGTCCAATAGAATTTTCTATGATGATGGAAATATTTCATTTTGGCTCTGTCCGATATGGTAGCCAAATAGCTCCATGTGGCTACTGAACACTTGAAATGTGGCTAGCAGGACTGAAGAACTGAATTATAAAAATTAATTTAATTTGAATAGCCCCTTGTGGAATAGCCACCTTAGCAGGTAGCATATTAAACAATGCAGCTTTGGATAGAATAAATAGCGGTTTCTAAAATTTGGAAACTGGTGGGATGAATGGAGGAGATTTAAACATCAGAGTACTCTGGATGATGACATTGGATTAATCATACTTCACACCTGCTGTAGAACCTCTCTGAGCCTAGAGATCAAGTCCTTGCTCCCTGGTACTATAGTCATCGACCCAACTTCCCTTCCTAGCAAAATTTTCCACCTGACTCCATGCTTTTCAGTTACTGAAACATGTCTCCTTCCTCTACAAGTCATGCTTTTGCCCACTCTAGGGCTTTTGCTAAAGCTATCCCTGATTAATTTCACAAGTGCTTACTGAATATACACTATATTCCAGAAATTGTACTGGGTGCAAGGAATACATATTTCCTATTCTTGAGTAACGCAGTGTAGTGAGGAAAACAATCAATGAAACAAATAAAAGGTAGTATTTTAAGTTTTATCTTGGAAGAGACAAAGGAAGGGCCTTCTCCTCCAGATGGGAGTAGAAATGGGGAGGAGGGAGCTTCCCAATTGTTTCTTGAGGGGTACGTAAGGGTCAGCCATGTAGGAAGGATTGGGAAGACCATCAGGCAATACCAGGGACAGTGGCACCAAGATGAGTTTAGGCAACTGTAAATGAGTCGACATGGTTGTCACAGGGGAGATGAGAAGGTAGGGCTGAAGAATCACGCAAAGACTAGATATTAATAGCACTATAATAATTAAGTGATTACCACCAATCAGGCCCTGAGCACTTTATCTATAGTATGTAGTAAGTAAACTAATAGTTGTCTATTATAATTTTTACTCTTTTAAATATGGGAACATCGAGACATGGGGAGTTTCAATAACTAGCCCAAGTTACACAACTAGTAAGTAGCAAAGTTTGTATGTGAACCCTGGAAATTTCCAGAACCCACATGCTAAAAGGGCACTTGACTTTAGGGGCCCAACCAATAAATTAAGACTTAATCCCAAAGGCGATGGGGCACTGATTTTAAGCCATATCATGATGGAATCATGTTTGCATCATTTTAAAAAGATAATTCTCTTTGACTATTCTGGAGGCAGAGATATCAGAGAGGAGTGTGTTACAAAAATCCAGTGAGAGAGACTGGGGGTATGGCAATGGGAATGGGGAATGAGGACTGACAGGAGAATTACGGAAAGGAACTGACAGGACTTGGTAACTGGAAATGGAAAGTGAGGGAGAGGAAACAGTCAAGATGAGTCCCCAGCCTTAGCGTGGCCACTCACCGGGACTAGGAAGGAAGGATGACAGGCCAGGTGAAGGTGTCCAGCAGGCAGGGGACTTCTGAGTCCAGAGGTGGAAGTGAGATTTAGGAGCCCTCAGCACACAGGTGACGGCCGACTCCAGGACAGGTGCGTAGCCTGAGGAGAGAAGATAGAACTCTGAGGGAAAAGGACACAGAAAGAGCCTGAGGTTGGAGGGTGGGAGCTAGAGGAAGGCCGGCAGATGAAAGGCCTGACAACCAAGGGAGAAAAAGGCTCTTAAAGACGTTGCCTTGAGTCAGTTAAGGCGAGGCCTGAGAAGCCTCGCCGGGCTTTGACATGTCAGTGGTCCCTGATAACTTTCAGGAGAGCAACAGCGTAGAATGTGCAGACATTTGGCTTGAAAGGGATGGAGAGAGAGACAGCATGATCTCCATATCGGCCTGCTGAACTCTTCAAATGGGAGTCTCTGCCAGCTTATGGCATCCCTCTTTAGAAGCTCCACTCTGTCTCATCTGGGGAGCTTTAAAAAAATACTGATGTTTATAGTGATCGAAACAGAACAGTGGGTGCCTCTGGAAAGGGAGTTGAAGGGATCGATTAGGAAGAAGCATAAAGAATTTTTGGGGAAGGTGAAATGTCCTATATCTTGAAAGGGCTGTAGGTTGCATTTCTCAAAACTCATTGAAACATACACTTCAGATCTATGTATTTCATTGGATGTAGTTTACGCTGGTTTTTAAAAATCAGAATCTTTGAACCCCGGGCTATCTGGAAAGCCCCGAAGGACCATAATGTGAAGCTAGGGTGGAAATTATTAGCTTATTAGCTGGAGGAGCTAATCTCACCCCTTCAGGTGCCCCGGGCTCTCACCTGACTCCATCACTTTCGGCCTGTTATCCGTCCTTCCATCTGTTACTGCACAAGTCCGTCCCCGTCCGGCTGTGAGCTCTGGGTCCCGTAGGTAACTACCAGCTCATGGCCACATGGTCGTCGGCTGGACACCGGGGTCGAGGTTGGAGGGACCACTGAGCCAAAGGCTCTTAAAGCCGCTGCCCTGCGGGTGGCAGCTGCCCCTGCGAAACCCTCGAAGTAAGTGGGAGAGCGCATGCACCAAACCGCGGGATTTTCGAAGTTCAAGAAGGCACTAGACTCTCAGTGATCCTCAGGACCTTGGTCGCCTAGCCACCAAGTGGCCATTCAGACACATGTCCAGGCTCGCGGTTGGCCGACCTCGTGGCGCAACGGTAGCGCGTCTGACTCCAGATCAGAAGGTTGCGTGTTCAAATCACGTCGGGGTCAGCTTGTTTTCTCTACAGCTGCTTACTTTTATCTATATATTTTTCATTCTCAACACTATCCTCAGCGTTCAGGTCAGGGAACAGGCATGTCTGAGGCACTGAAAGTGAGGGTTCCTGGCGTTAGTCAAGAGTCCAACGATGGCGTGATAGCTTTTGCGGCAGATTCAGGTACAGTGAATCTGGGCCTGTAGAGGGGCTCCTGAGGAGTGGTGCACACTAGCAATCAATCGCTCAGTCCAGAGGGAGGAGGGTCATGCGCTTGCGCAGATGGAAATCTTTCTAGGTCGGTCAACCCCCTTGAGATTCTACTTTGTGATGTCTGCGCAGCATCTTCGAAACATGCTCGACGTGGGTGAGTCATAGCAGCACGAAAGATGAGGACGCAGAGAGAATATTATAGTCTTGCTTTGCGTAGACGAGGTGGCCGAGTGGTTAAGGCGATGGACTGCTAATCCATTGTGCTCTGCACGCGTGGGTTCGAATCCCATCCTCGTCGGTTGGTACTTGTGGCGCGTGTCCAGTTTTGTAACTCTAAAACAGACTTCCCACCTTTAGTATATCCTGATTCAGTTTCCGTGTCATCCCTTCATTTACTATTACCTGTGACGAGTATTTTCCAGTAGAGCCAAAAATTGGTTATGAAAAATACATACAACCCCTGGAGCTGATCTGGCCAAGGAAAGAAGGTGCGAGGCGTCTCACTGTAGGCGCCGTGGCTTAGTTGGTTAAAGCGCCTGTCTAGTAAACAGGAGATCCTGGGTTCGAATCCCAGTGGTGCCTCGGGAGCCGCATCTGCTTTTGCGAAGAGTTCCTAACTCTCAAGTATCCACCGTCCATGATTTCCCGAGGTCATTCCAGGAGTCTACCAATGACAATGAAGTGGTGTTTTCCATTTCCGGTTGAGCCCCTGGACTTTTACGATCTTGCTCCCCACATTTTCGCCTGGACTTGACCCTAAATACGGGCAGTATTGCGGATTGGTTGTTACCTCCCGAAATGATCAGTGATTAACTTTTCATATTTTTTCCAAGGCTCTCAAAGTAATCTGACCCATCTTTAAATTTTCAAGAGCTAGTTGACCATTCATCTTTATGTAGAATTACTTTTAGGATGAAGTGGCCGGTTAGCTCAGTTGGTTAGAGCGTGGTGCTAATAACGCCAAGGTCGCGGGTTCGATCCCCGTACGGGCCACAAGAAGTGGTATTTTAAAACTTGCATCATAAGTTTCATAAAGCAACATTTCCACCCAGAATTTTCATACCTAAAAGAAAAACGTGTTAAAATTCAGCCTGAAGAGGTGGTGTCTTCGGGGAGGAAGTTTTTATAAAACTGGAGCTCTTTCTGTAATCTGTGTTCCTAAATCTGATGGTAAAGGGGATCCTGGAACTTCCTATGTGAACTGTAAACACAAGCCTGCCAGGGGTTGGAACAAAGACTGTCTCAAACTGTTCATATGGCATTGATCAGGGACGTGTGGGAACGGAGTCAGGAATGGAGCAAGCAAAATGTTTCCAGTTTTCCTCTATAGCCAAGTTGTCCAATTCTCCCACTCCCTGCCTTCCACTTCAGGATCTGAGATGGTCCCTTCCCTTTCTTTTCCGGTGCAACTTTCTTCCATTTCTGCTTTTAGTGGATCTCTGAGCCCCTACCTCTGTTTTGCACTTCCCCTCAGATCTGCTGCTTAAGAGAAGGAACCATATCCTTTCCCATGTAGCCTGGGACCTCCACCCCACTCCCAGCACCAGCCCTAACAGAACTCCATGAAAACCTACCCCGTTCCCACTGCTTTGGCTCATGAATCCCTGCAACCCCAGACAGACACAGGCTCAGCCTCAGCAGCAGCAGCACTTTAATTCCACAAAAACTCAGAAAGCCAAAACTGATTAGAACACTCCACAACAGGTGGGCTTCAAAACCAGCAATTCTCCTTGAACCCTGAGAGCAGTAAGACCCCTCCCAACTCAGCCCCTCTACCATGCAATGCATTCCTTCTAGCTCCACCCAGGTTCTGGGTTGGGGAATAGTAGGGCGCCAGAGGGCAGAAGCAGGAAGTTATCCACCTGCAGCTGTGCATCTTTATCTGCCTGGTGTATGGCCAAGGAACACTCTAGATCTGACAGCCCCTGGCACCTGACATGTGACCACTGGAGTCAGGGTGGCCACAGTGGGGGCTTAGGGCCTCCTCTGTTCTCCTTTCTCTACCACATATGGCAGTCATGTCTCCCAAGCTGAGACCTAAAGCCCTGGATTCCCAGAAATGGTGCTCTAGCTAGGGAAGAGTTGGAGAATAAGGTAGCTACAGATGGCTAACAGAAGCAGAACATCATTCCCTCCCACCAGGAGAACCTTTAGAACTTCCCCATGTACACCTGCATAAGGCCCAGCGAGTGGTCGTGGGCATGCTAAATGCTTCTGGGACAGCTTCCAACATATACACCTCCTCTCAGCAGGCAGTTCCCACCAGGGCTCCTTGAAGAGTCCTTAGGATCTTTCCCGGCCCTGGCCTGGCCAGACCTCTCCTGCCCTCCCGGTCACTTGCACAGGGCCTCCAACACTTCCAGGGTGCGTCGGATATCCCGGACTTGGCGCGCCAGCCCCTGAACTGGCTGCAGAGCCCGCTCCAGCTCCTCACAGCGCGCCAGCAGGGTGTACATGCCCTTGATGCTCATGTCCACGGCTTCGCCTAGGGAGTCCACGGCATCGCGGTAGGTCTGAATGCAGCCCACGCTCAGAGCTGTCAGCTCCTGCACCGCGCCACCTAGCCCACGAAGTAGACGGTCCACCCTGCCGCCCAGCTCCCGACTTAGCCGCTCCAAGTCCCGAAGCACGTCGGGGTCGATAGGGGGGATGGCAGGAGTGGGTGCGGGCGCTGAACACGACCGCGCAAGGGCGGGGGGCGGGGGTTGAGGGGTGCCGCTCAGACGGATCTTCAGTTGCAGGTTGTTGGCGACAAAGTGGGTGAGGTCGCCATGGCGGCTCACGGTGCCCTCGAGTTCCAGGGGGCTGGAGATGGTGGCGCGGCGCCCGCCGCCGGCGCCAGACTCAGCACCGGCTGCCAACCCGGCGCCGCCACACGCCCCGCTCAGCCCATCCAGGCTGCGGCTGTCCTGAAGGCGGGTGGAGATCGAGCGGCCAGCCCTCCCGGCCGCCGCCGCGTCCTCGTCGTCTTCCTCCTCCCGCTCAATATCCATCCCGCTGCCTCCCGAGCCCCCAAGACGGCAGACCGTCCCGGTTGAAGGCTTGTCCTCTGGCGGCTCAGGGTCCTTGCGCCGGGAGGACACGTGTGGGTCGTGCTTGGGACCCGGCGTCCCCCAGAGGCTCCCCGCCCCAGACGGCGTTCCTCCACAGCCGGGCTTGTCCTCCCAAGCTTCCAGTTCCGGCCGGGGGTCGGAGCTGCACCTCAAAGTCTTCAGGGAGTCCCTGGGGTGGCGGCTCGTGCCCGCAACGTTCGAGGCCTCTTCCTCCTCGGACACCCGGAGGCCTGAGGGAGGTTCAGAGGGCGTTCGTCCCAGGCCTCCGGTGAAGATCGTAGCTTGTTGTTTCCCCGGAGGCAGTAGGTCCGCCTCGGGCGCAGGCCGCCCCCGGGACGACTCCATACTGCAGTTGGGGGTAAGAACCGAGGAATTGGTTCGCTCGGGGGAGGCGTTGGCTGCGCCTTTAAGGGGCGTTGGTAGAGGCGCGCCGATTCGCAGCGGACTGACAATAGTAAGGACAGGAAGAGCACTTTGATTGGTCGAAGAGACAAGGAAGTCCCGGAAGAAAAGCTGTGACTGAACAGCAGAACACGCGTGAGAGCTAGCAGGGTGGAAAGAAGGAGGTGTCAGCTGCGCTTGTCGCCCCGCCCTTTCAAGATGTCGTGGGTGCGGATCTTAAAGATGAAGGTCCTGAAATACTGGAGTCCTCGCTGGAAGGGTTCAGACTCCGCCCACAATTGTTGCTTAGCAAATACACTAAACGGGGCCCACTTATGGGGTTCCTAGAGAGGTTCTCGGGATGGAAGTAGGTCCATACCCTGCATGGACCATCAGGATTGAACTACGCCTAGTTAGTTGATCAGGACGGAAGAAGCCGCAATTAGCAGAGTAGGCACGGTTCGTTCCACAGTCCTTGGCTAACAGACCTAGCAGCTGGACTGCAGTGAGCGACTCACTGTAGACAGCGAAGCGGACTGAAGGGCTTTCCTGTGCTTCTCCCACTCTGTTCTCTGCCTCCTGCCCCCTCCATGTTTGAAAGTCTCTTTGCTTAAAGGATGGCTCGTGATTTTCCCACAAGGTAAAATATTCAATAAATGAGTGACTCTACATGAAGATCAGGGTCCTGGGGACATTCTGATGTCATCTATTCCTTCTCTCTACCTCACTGGTCCTACTGGAGCCATACTGGCCTCCTCACTCTTCTTGACAGGACAGACATACTTCCTCTTCAGGGATTTACACTTGCTCTAGCTTTTTTTTTAGGTTGAGTCGGCTAAGAACATTTTCTACTTAGATATTCCTCCTTCCCTTCTCTACTTCAGATCTTTATTCAGGTATTACCTTTTCAATGAGACCTGCCCTGACAACCTGTTTACAATTGCAGTTACTTTCCCCAGCAATTCCCCACAGCACTTACTGCCATCTGACATACCATATACTTGCTTACTTGCTCGTGTAAGTTCCATGACGATAAGGCTTTTTGTCTGTTTTCTTCTCATCTGCATCCTCAGTGCTTAGAACAGTATATGCCTAGCATATAGTAGATGCTTAGTATGTATTTATTAAGTAAATAGCCCCAAACCATTAATTTCCCCTCCTTGACTTGAATACATTCAGGATGTGTTTCTGTCAATTTCACCCAGACTTCTGACTAAAACACCATGAGGCCAGTGGTCTACTCTAAGCTTCTCTCCATCTTTTGGGACTGAAGAGATGCTCTTTGTTCAGCAAGTAACAAAACACAAGTTGAACCAACAAAAAAACAAGGGAATTGATTGTGTCATGCAATAATGGTCTCAAGACAGAGTGTGCAACAGAGAAGCCTGGATCCAGTGCCCTAAGACTGTCGGGAAGGACCTGGCTTCTGTCTGTAGGGGCAGGTTTATCACAAGCGGGTTTCCTCATGGTGGCAGAATGGCTATGTCATTTGTCACTCATTGGGGGTTGGATTAGTCTGCTTGGGCTGCTATAACAAAATACCATAAAATGGGAGTCTTAAAGATCAGACATTTATTTCTCACAGTTCTGAAGCCTGGCAAGTCCAAGGTGCCAGCCGATTTGGTTTCTGGTGAAGGCCCTTTTCTGGGCTTGCAGATGGCCATCTTCTCCGTGCATTCTCACATGGTGAAGAGAGCTAGCTCTCCACCTTTTCTTGTAAAGGCACTAATCCTATCATGAAGACCCTACCCTCATGAACTCATCTAAACCTAATTACCTCCAGAGGCCCCATCTCCAAATACCATCACATTGGGGATTAGGACTTCAACATCTGGATTTTGGAAGGACAAAAACATTCTGTCCATAGCAGGGGTTATTTGTCACTCTTTTTCAGCCACTTGGGATCTGAATCCCAATGTTTGAGGACTCTCCATCCTCATCAGACAGAGCCCAACTCCCACTGCAAAAGCTGAGAAAGCAGTCAGTCCCTTTCCCAGCTTCCTTAGTACATGAATCAGGCTCTGCCATGGTCTACTGGACCACCTCTGCAGTGGAATATTTTCCTGGCTGTGTAGACTGGACCTTCTAGAGATTCCTGACACTTAATTCTGTGCATTACCTAGGATACTTATTATAAGGATAATAAGGTCTTTTCTGCTTAAATGAACCCAAATTGTTTTCTGTTGCACACAACCAGGAACCCTGGCTGATACACTCCTGCACCTGCTAGAAGGGGAGAAAGGAATAGATTCCATTAACACATCACAGAAAAACAAGATACATCTTTCCCAAAAGCCCCAGTTTATCTCTCTTTATATCTCATTGGCCTAAACTGGTTCATATTCCCAAGTTATTCACATGGGTCAGGGTAATAACATGTCTGATTGACTTAGGACTAGGAATCCAGAAGCAATCATTCCATTAAGGTGATAAAATTAGTGTATTAGTTTAAAACAACTACGCTCCTCCTGGAGCTAGAGGTGAGCCAGTTCCCTCCAAACTCAAGAAGCTGCAATCTGATGCAGGAGAAAAGGGCTGTGGGAGAGAGAACACGTTGTCCCCTACATTAGCAGTTAGCAAATTACACAGCCATAGGCCAAATCTGGCTCATCACCCATTTTCTGTATGTCCTGCGAGCTAAGAACAGCTTTTACATTTTTAAACGGCTGATAATCTAAAGAATATGAAGATTCATATAATTAAATGAAATCCAAATTTCAATGTTCATAAAGTTTTTTTTTTTAAATACAGCCACATTCACTCACTTATGTACTGTCTGCGGTTGCTCTCACCCTACAATGGCAGAGTTAAGTAGTTCCAACAAAGGCCATATGGCCTGCAAAACCTTAATTATTTACCTCCCTGACTTTTATGGATAACGTTTACCACTTCTTGCACTATAGGTCTCCCCTTCAGGCTGCTGGGAAGTGGTAGCTCACTCTATTTGCCTATCAGTGTCAGCGACTGTTGGTCACATTTGGTGGTCTGACATCACTCATAGTTTCACACATGTGCACACTCTATTCATGAGGCTTTGGGATACTCTTCAATATTTTATAAAAACATTTTGATCAAAGAGGACTGTATTACACAGAGCAGGGAGCTAGAGAAAGCTGAGTTTTACTGTAATCAGAGACAAATGCCTTGTTAAAAACAAGAAAACCACATTTTCCTGTTACCCCATGAATATGCATATTTTTGGTTGCAAACTATGCAATTTCTATATATGTGAATTAGTACATGAAGAAAATGGTGATATCTCAAATCAATTTATGTAAACATTATAAGACCCCAGCTATTTGTATCACAACACAAACATAAAAACAATTTCATTCCTTACATCAAAAAAAAAAGAATCCATTTTGATCACAATTTTAATGAAAAATCAGAAAATATATTGAAAGAAAACAGAGATGTAGTTTTAAAATAAGCTTAGGATGATGAAGGTTTTTTAAAGACTGAAAATTAGATACCATAAAAGAAATAGATAGACCTGATGACATAAAACTGGAAAACCTCAGCATAGAAGAGCCATTCTAAGCTATGTTAAAAGACAAATTGCAGAAAGGAAAAAAATATTGGCAAAGTATATGACTAATTGTTAATATTCCTTGACCTTCTAAGTAAATTAGAAAAGGACACAATAGAAAAATGGCCAAGGATTACAGGGTTAGTTCATTTAGCAGCTCAAGAAAATCATTGAGTACCCAGACTCTCCATCTTTATGCAGGTTTGTTTTCACTTCAGCTTTCTTCATGGGCACAAAATGGCTGCCACACATCCAGTCATCTCAGGAAGACTTGAACTAGTTTCACTGTGTTCAGTGGGTTGGTCAAATCAAATCATGATACTCAGTTTTGTTTTAAGGCTCATCACTAGGAAACAGTCTGTAGAACTAGTAAAGCTCTTCCAACTATCAGTTCACTGACGTGATCAGCTGAAGTATGCAAAGCATAAAACTCTTATTAAAATAGAATCATTCCACAGTCAAGACCAGAGAGTGTTTGTAACACTGCAAAGCTCAGCAGGTATAGGGGCCTGGGAGAATGTGGCTTTCTCAAGGGCTATCCCACCATCTTTCCTTTCAACTTCTTCCAAATTTAGAAAGCTACTTGCTTGAAGTACACTTGCTTGTATGGGAATTTGTCTTCTTGTTAGGAATTCCATTTTCTACTCCTTTGGAAAACCTAGTCAAACCCTTTAGTTCCTCTCTTGCTGTTTTTAGCCATTCTAATAAGTGTGTGGTAAGGAATGTATTCCCACTTTTATGTTTTTTCCTTTTCTTTTCTTGTAGACTACTTTAAATCCCTCCTGGAATGAGACTATATTTTTATTTATTTTCATTTATTCATTTTTTACCTTTTGACCCGCTTCACACATTTCTCCCATACCCCACCCCTCACTTCTGGCAACCACCTATCTGTTCTCTATGAACTTGTTTTTGTTTTTTAAGATTCCACATATAAGATCAAGTGGTACTGGTGTTTCTCTGTCCGACTTATTTCACTTAGTATAATGCCCTCCAGGTCCATCCATGTTGTCACAAATGGCAAGATTTCCTTCTTTTTATGGCCAAGTAATATTCCATTGTATATGTGTATCACATCTTCCTTATCCATTCTTCCATCAACAGGCACTTAGGTTATTTCCATATCTTGGCTATTGCAAATAATGCTGCAGTGAATTGGGGATGAAGATATCGTATCATGTTCATGTTTTCATTTCCTTTGGAAAGCCAGAAGCGGAATTGCTGGATCATATGGTAGTTCTATTTTTAACTTTTTGAGGAACTTTCATACTGTTTTCCATAGTGGGTGTACCAATGTACAGCCCCACCAATAGCACACAAAGGTTCCCTTTTCTCCACATCCTCACCAACACTTGTCTTTTCTGGTCATTTGATGATAGCCTTTGATATCAGTGTAATTGGAAAAGTGGAACTTCACCTACTCATATAAGCTAATAAACTAATTTAATTTATGTAAATTAAAAAAAGTTTCTGAGAGATAATGCAAGGGTGAAATCTAGTCCCTGTGGAAGTGGAGCCTGGGGCCTAAGGAAGATCAGGACTTTCAATCACAGGGCATTTGTGTGAGGCTTGGCAGTGAGAGCTAAAAAGAACTGAGGGCAGAACACAAGCAGGGGAATGCCCATGTGTTTGGAATTTTAAAAACACCTTTGAAATACTTC